TTCATGGTCTGAGAATCCTTCAGGTGCCTTTTACTGAGGAGTGGCTTCCGTCTGGCCACTCTACCATACAGGCCTGATTGGAGGAGTGCTGCAGAGATGGTTGTTCTTCTGGAAGGTTCTCCTCTCTCCAAAGAGAAATACTAGAGCTCTGTCAGATTGACCATCGGGTTCTTGGTCAACTGCCTGACTAAGGTCATTCTCCCCCAATCGCTCATTTTGGCTGGTCAGCCAGCTCTAGGAAGAGTCCTGGTGGTTCCAAACTTCTATCATTTAAGGATGGAGGCCACTGTGTTTATTGGGACCTTAAATGCTGCAGAAATTTTTCTGTAACCCTTCCCCAATCCTGTCTTGGAGGTCAATCAAGCTGTAGAAACATCTCAAGGATGATCAGTGGAACCAGGATGCACCTGAGCTCAATTTTGAGTGTCAAGGCTGTGAAAACTGTGAATAATGTGATTTTTTTTTCATGTTTTTATTTTTAATAAACTTGAAAAGATTTCAAACAAACTTCTTTCACATTGTCATTATAGGGTATTGTTTGTAGAATTTTGAGGAAAATAATTAATTTGATCCATTTTGGAATATGGGTGTAACTAGGGCTGCAACAACTAATCGATAAAATCGATTATAATCGATTATGAAAATCGTTGTCAACGAATGTCATTATCGATTAGTTGGTCTGATTACGTCACGGGGATTGTTTACATGGAACATGGGCTTCTTACATGCGCTTCATGAGGCGCACATGCAGTCTCTCTGCCTCGCCGCTCTACCCTGTCTCGCGCGCGCAACACGGACGTTTTGGAGCACATTATCTTCTGTCTCGCATGCGCGCTCTTGATTCCGTGAGTTTGAACTAATTTGCGGGCATCAGGAAACCGCTATCAATATGCAGCATACACGAAAATCATTCACCTTTCGGTAAATTCGCCGTTTTGAAACCAAAATAGGTGACCTACGTTAATCATGTATACTTTATGAAGCCATACTATAGTATAATGTGAGATAGAAATGTATATTTAAGTCATTAAATTCAAGTTAACCTAAGCTTTTCCCTCCACTGCGGCTGTCAGTCATTCTCTATTCGGTGTTCAAACAGCGCGTCGCGTTGCAACAGTTAACATGATGATCTCTTTCCAAGATGATTCAATGTTATAATTGATCCGTAGATAAAGGTCTATGATGGTTTTTCTATCTTGCTAGACTTTTATTGCTGTAACTTAATCACTTTCTACTGAGTGTCTGTTAGATCACAACACTATAGTAGAGTCGGCGCAGTATAATTGTTCTTCACATGCACAGTAGCCTAACTGAAATTTAAAACTGTTAAAAGAAAAGGCTTAATAAACTATTGCATAGATACTGTATAATACACAGTCAATATGTCTTTCTCTTTCCTTGGTGCTTTTAACTTTAATGCGGCGGACACTGAAGAGCTGCGCGCTGCCCTGTGACTCCGTGTTGCTTCAAGCGCATCATTCAGCGCTCGCGATGCACATAAGCACTTTGTGCAGCTCTTTCATGATCATGTCATAATACTTTTGCGCAATGAAAGCTTATTGATAGCCTTTCTTGTTCTGTCCTATCTATTATATTTTGCTTCCTCACTAAACAGCTGTGCTTTACATTTAAAACAGTTGTGTATCTGATTTTTACGATGTTTTTCATGAATGTATAACAACAATACAAAGAGCAATGTGTAACATTTTACCAGAGTTAGTGCTACACTTATTGTCTCTTATTTGTTCCCCACTAAGGAATGTTTTTTTTTCACTAAATGTTCAGATTTTATAAAATTATTGTGCACTTGTGATATTTCTAGGCTAAGTTTTGCTGAGTTATCCACTAATCTAGTTTACAATAGCATTTTTGTCATAGGTTATGGTCATATATGTTTTTTTTTTTTGTTTGTTTTTCTTTATAATGAAGTTGTCTGTATTAAGTAGATTGTTTAACACACAAAAGAGTGTGGTTTTTAGGGTTTTATTTTGTTATAATAAACAAAAATGAAATATATTTTTTTTATCCGATTAATCGATTAATCGAAAAAATAATCGTCCGATTAATCGATTATCAAAATAATCGTTAGTTGCAGCCCTAGGTGTAACATCACAAAATGTGGAAAAACTGAAGTTCTGTGAATTTCCAGATGGACTCTAAATGTAAATCTGAATATATAGTTAAAACTCTGAATACATACATTTAAATCTGAGTAAATAGTTGCAAATCTGAATATATAAATCCTTCATATACAGTTATAAATCTAAATATATACGTGTGAATCCTAAATATAAATCCTGAATAGTTATAACTATATATTCAGATTTACATTCATATATTCAGTTATATCTCTGAATATATAAATGTAAATCTGTATATATAGTTACAAATCTGAATATATAAATGTAAATCCTGAATATATAGTTATAACTCTGAATATATAAATGTAAAGTTTGAAGAACCTTGGCCCAATGCCAAATAACCGATTTCAATATTTCAGCTTTTGACCTTTTGGCTTGGTAAGTTTATCTAAAAGAGTGGAGCAAGTAAAAATAAAATAAAAAAATGGCATCTTCAACAGTGTAATTACAATTATAACTGTACTATAAAACTATAACCACAGTACTATAACTAACTAATAACTCTAAAAAGTGTTGCATTACGTATTACTAATTTCTTTCAAAATCCCATATCAACCAGTTGAACAATGTAAAGACAGACATTAAATTTAATATAAAACTATGTAAATGGTGCTCTGTGGTGCGCCAGGACTAGACATGTGCCGGTATTCGGTAATGCGATAAATCGCGGTAATGAATATGCACGATATTGTTATCGCGGGCTCTTCAAAATACCGTGAAAAATAATAGATTCGAATTTAGACTTTTAAAGCGCGCATTAGCTGCTTATTTTCCTTCAACCGCTCAAACACTGCGTGCTGCGCAGAACACGCGCGCACTCTGATGTAAACAATCCCCATTATGTATAAGCACTGTGTGCATGCAGCAGTGCGCACTAGTCTAATGTAAACAGTCCTCACATGGATCAAGCATGGCGGAATACTCCCGACGATTTATCCCCGCAGGGCTGCCAAACTCTCAGACATTCCGCTTTAGACTCAAGCTTGAGACTTTCAGACAGGACGCGGAATACGCGCGCGACGCGCAGGGTTGTTTTGTTGCTGCGTTGACCTGCATCGACCACGCCGGTGTTAAAGTTCAAAATAGTTCAACTTTTTATTTGTAAAATGGCAAATCGCGTTGTATCTGAAGGGCAACGTTGAACCAAGCGGCCGCAGCGTCGCGCATTCCGCGTCCTGTCTGAAAGGCGCTTAACGAATTTGACACTTTTCACACGCTCTCCCACAGAGAAAAATCACAGGGCAAAGAGGACACTGACACCGACAGACTAGACAGAGCAGGTTACTTTTGATATGAAAGTTGTTATTGATAAATTGAAGTTGATAAATCAGCTCTTCTGATCACAGATCGTTGCTCCTCAGTTCAAGTAAACCGATCATCATGTTACTTTCGTTTTTATTTAAAGATACAGTACAACTTACCGAAAGGTATATTTACTTATACATAATAACGATCAATCAGTGTTTTCAAACATGGAAAGAGGTCAGTAACACTGCAGGAGAACAGTTGTGTCACAAAACATTACATTTACCTCAGGAAAGCCATTTAATGACCAGCACATTAGTTGAGTAGAAAAAAATATCAAGGAGTATTTTGCTAAATATTATATTTAATTTCTCTCTGTATGTTTACAGCATTATGTGAGGTTTTTTTTTTTCTTGAGAAACATTAACAGACTGGGGCCTACCTAATATTTATCCAAATGAGTCAATATTGAATTAAGACTGAAATCAAATCCAAGAATTTAATTGAATAATACAAACAGTAACCTACCAGTCATTGTAACATGTTGTCACTAAACTTTAAACAATTTGGTTTAGTTACCATATGTTTCGAAAATCACAATTACACATTGTGATACAAGTTGAGGTTTTTTTAGAGACCCACAATGCATCTGTTTTTCTTGAGCATTAAAATATAATTTCATTAAAATACCGTGATAATACCGTACACCGTGATAAAAGCTCATCAATTAACCGCAGCATGAAAATTTGATACTGGCACATGCCTAGCCAGGACTTAGCTGTAGCTGGGCGCCGCGGACAGATGCCGAATGGAGCTGCCAGTGTGTACACACACTCATAAAAAATAATGTGTTCGAATTTTAAAGAAATGACGCTTCTTGTCTGGTGTGCGACCCCCTCAAGTCCTGCCCTGATAGTAGTTATTAGTGCATTTTAATTTATTAATTTGTTCTTATTTTATTACTGTGTTTTAGGGCCATGCACAGACATTGAGGAGTAGTTTCACTTGGCCCACGGCACCCAACGCTGGAGCAGGGCCTGGTGGCTATTGCACATAATTATACTCATCATGCCCACACGTTCCAAGCTTATAATGTGCTAAATATGCTGTGGCAGAAACAAGATTCCATACCTTCAAGTTGATTGCAGTCACAAAACTCTGGTAAGTAATATAGGATAATAAAAATCACTTTTCTTAAATAGCACCCAAATACGTGATAACACACTTTACAAACAGCTATAGTGTATGCTATAGGGAATTATTGTTTGCATGGATTTAACACATTATAAGCATGTAACTTATGGAAATTCTGTGCTAAAACTAAAAAGGCTATGAATTGATACATGAAATTACATGAAATTTACATGAAATTAGTTCCTGTTTGCACCTCCCCCCCATAACACACACATAATGCATGTGTATATAACGATCACCAAAAACAAAAGTTTGATTTACAGAATATTTGTCCATACTGCGTGTAATTATTATAAATATATACACACACACATATATATATATATATATACACACACACACACACACACACTATATACACACACACACACACACACACACACACACACACATTAAAGTAAAGACAAAAATAACACTAACCTCCACGCCAGTGTAATTTTCAAAGAAGAACAGGACCATACTCTGATACAATGAATATGCACGGTCATCCACACTGTGAAAGAGTCTGGCGGGCAGCACAGTGGCCAGCAGCCGCCAGATGCTCCAGGACAGCAAGTACGCCGGAGCAGTGCCCAGCATCACAGCCGCTGGGAGCCAGTACCGCAACGAGTATGTGTGCACGACTACAGACAGCAGCATTATGACTGGAAACCCACAATGACTCAAGCGAGTCTAATCTCTACACCGCTGAAACTCAAACTAACTCAGTAAATAACCCTGCCCAAAATGCATTGATCCTTTAGCCCAATGCAGTCAATTTCAATGAAAACTATTTATGCAAAATTTGACGTCTCCAGGAAACTTCCTCCAGGTTTAAGCATGACATGCCTTTTTTAATGCAAAACACATCCCAAATTGTGATTATAGTCTTATAAGGCACAATTCATAAAGACATAAAGAGACAATAACTGTGCTTCTACACTTTGCTGAAACTACACTCTGATTTTCCCTTTGCACTAACGTTACTCTTAAAAAATAAAGTATATGCAATTCTTTACTTGCTAAAACCTACAGAGGACATACCAATGACAGAAACCCTAAGCTGATCTAAGCATGGAGAACACTTTTACTTCTCCATTAATACTATAACTACATATAAACAAACGTTATGTCTTACAAATACAACCAGCAACATTGCTCGCACCCAAAAGTCACACTCGCCTTACAGGCAGCGGCAGCCTCCATATTACATGATTGTTATCAGCCGGCCACATGCCTGTATCGAGCTCGCTGATTGGCTGACAAACGAGTTCCGGTGTGACGAGATTTTCGATTTCCGTGGGCGGAACATACTTGAATATTCACGAACTTTTAGACATTTAAGATTTCGAGCATACTGGCCATGGTTTCTAAATATGTATCGGTCTCAGCATGTTTAAACGATATTTTTTTTTTATACATTTATTTATCAACTTTTTCAAAGCATTAACAGAAAGCATAACATAAAGCAGATACAATCAAAGTTAAAGTTTTTCCCCCACAATAACCCATTCCGCCAAAATAAATAACAATATATTACATACAAGTCAAAACAAAAATATCAATAATAATAATCCCCCCCCCCCCCCCAAAAAAAAAAAACAAACAAAAAACAAACAAAAAAAAAACGGCTTAAACGATTGTTGTTTAAACGATTATTATCATAAAGGAACAACTGGGTCATTCCTGGGGGGGTATTGCACAAAAGCAAGATAAGGGATTAAGCTGTGATTTTCCAGTTATCCTGGCTGAATTTAGCCCTGACTCGGTTGCACGAATGAAGGCTAAATTAATCTACATTAAGTTACTATGGAGATTTACACTTTGCAGCTAGCCTGCTCCAGAGCAGGCTAACAACCAGGCTAAGATTAATCCTAGTGATTTACCGGCTAGTTCCTCCCTACTAGATATTAATGTTTAAGTTACTTTATGCTTGAGCATTAAAATACTATACTGCCATTCATCTAAGAATGCATACTGCTATTTTAGTTATTATTAAAAACTGCTGTTCATTTCACTGTCAGAGGTTTGATGAATATATTATTTGAGATTCAAAATGCGTTTATTGGCATACACTTGCAGTGAGGAAAGCAGATTTTCCTGAGCAATTATAACTTTGCTGTCCACAATAAATGCCAACACAATGCAAAAGAACTATACAATATGAGAAATAGAATATATGTATATCTATGCAAATATAGAGTAGAAATGTATAGTTGAATGAGAAAAAATTAGAGGCTATTTTATTGCAGTTGATGAGATAATAAGAAATGGCTCATTAAGTCGTAAATGTGGTTTCATGTAACAACAAGGTCAATAGTATATATAGACTAAAGATTTGTTTTTCCTATTCACAATGGCTTGCCCTTTGTTATGACTTTTTTTTATTGCTAAAATCAGCACAGGCGATTAAATGTCAGCAAACATGTCACCATGTTCTCTGCAGACAAGTCACTTACCAGCCTATAAAATATTTTTGTATTTAATCTTAACTTTCTGCCAAGACCTTTTTTGGCCAGACATTGTTCTTTAAGAGGAATAGATACAAATGATAAAATAGATTAGATAGATAAAAATAGAGCAAAATATCTGATTATAGATTACATTAAATCAATTAGAAACAAAACCTACATAGAAATAGATAAGAGTAAAAAGATTAAAGAGATAGACATAAAATAAATTAAATACATCAAATATACACATAGTGGGTAAGTGTTTGCAATTATTCTTCATGTTAAATGTATGTCCACTGGTCACATTTAAGGCAAAATATACAATTATTTTGTTAAATGACAAGTAACTCCTCGAATTGTAATTATGAGGGTTACAGTGGAGCACTGCACACTCAAATGCTGGGTTGTTTTAACCCAATTTTGGGTCAAATATGGACAAACCCAGCTGTTGGGTTAAATTTATTAATTGCATTTTTAAATCCAAAATTTGGGTTTGTCCATATTTGACCCAAAATTGAGTTAAAACCACCCAGCATTTTTTAGAGTGTGGTTATTTATGGACTTAGCATTCAATCGGTCAGCTATTGTTTGCCAGGCAGCTTTATTAGCTTTTTTACATATTATATGTTTCACTTCTTCATACGTTTCCATAAAGCTGTTGCTCATTAGGTGAAAAGTATGCCGCACGCGTTTTGTCCATTTTTGGATCGGTGATTCTGTGATCGATTTCGCGCTCTTTTTAAGAATGCCGTGAACGTGCATTTATCCAAACTATATACACTGGCTTGACATATCCGTGCGTTCTCATCCTGGCTCAGCAAACGTGCAACGGATTAAGCCAGGATGCACTGATCAGACTAGGTCAAACCACGACTGTTCAGTTATCCTGGCTTTCTTAATTCTACTTTTGTGCAATACCCCTCAGGAAGTCCCTGTTCGGGCGCCATTATATGTAACACTCTCTTTTTTGGTCACATACTTAAATGAAGGGGATCCATTCATCCAAGAGTAGAGTTAAGTATATTTATGGTTTTGTGAAAAGCCCAAACTGTGCAGATAAACACAACATCAAAATTGTCAGCAAATCATCACATCACAAGTAGCTCTTGTTAGAAGTGAGTGTTCCAATATTCCAAAAGTTCATTAGAAGTCCCGGAGTAGAAGTCCAACAGAAAGTGTTTTAAATCAGAAAGCATCAGTCCTCGTAATCAACAAAGGTGTAGAACCAGAGCACAACATAGTCCAGATGAAGTGTCCATATTGAATGAAGTCAACAGAGAACCCTATCGAGCTGTTGAACCAAAAAGATTCCTCAAAATAGGGGTTCTTGCATACGGCTCAGTTGAGCAAACACTCAAAGCCATGCCAATACCTGTCTAAACACTCTTACTTGTCTCTCTTAAAAGGATAGCCCTACCCAAAGAAACCTCTATAGCTCCCCCTTGAGGCGGGGAGTTGAATTACAGCACAAGAAATGTAACATTCTTTCAGAACTGTTACAACTTCCTCTTGAAAAGGTTGATTTAAGGATGATCCAATACAATCTAGTTTTGATTAGTTATTCATTTGTTTTGAGTTACTAAATGAAAGTCTACACAAAATTAGGTCTTCTGCCACACCAACAATAGTAAACATGGGCAACATCTAAAGCTTTTCTCAAAACAGTGGGTTATTGGCTTGACTTAGAGGTAATTTTCAGAATTTGTACCCATCAACCAATTGACTTTCTCTCTTAACAGAGGCTGTACAGAAGAACCAAGTTGCTAGCAGCGCATCGGACAACGAGATTAACCAACACGCCATCCGCTGGTTCAACCTGGTCTCTGACCGCGGAAGTGGCCGCAAAGAACGTGCCATGGCCAGAGATGCATTACAAATGGTAAATTGTAGATAAATCATTGTGCTAGTCTTTTGTAGAAGCATTTGTTTTGTGTTTAACTTAGCAAATTGTTGTTAATAGCATTGCAGCTATGTAGTACGTATGTAGGAACAGTGACATATTTTTTCAGGGCTGTCCTGGGAACGATAGAAATATTCTGTAGGATGCATCTATAGGACGAAAGGGATTGTGTAAGCCTATGTGTTTATTTATTACGATCACTTAGCAAATGACAAACTAAACCAACTGAGCGCTGACTACAATGGAGGCCATCTTCTCACGCTGTTACACTGGGGTGTGACCACCAGGGCTCCAGACTAACTTTTTTCACCTCAAACCAACATACTTCCAGAGAAAACATCTATTAACTTGTTAAGTTCAATGATTTTTGTTTGAAGTTTGAAAATGCAATACAGATACAGATTACAAAAAACACCCCAACTACAACAGTTGAGCATGTTTGCGGTACAAGATAATCATTCATTAGTTGTAATTGTGGTAAAATGTTCTCTTAATCTGGATTTTGATTTTAGGTCAAATCTTCCAGCCTAGTCCCCTTTAATATTACCAATCTCAGTGAATTTTTATGTAATTTGTGATTGCCATTATCAATTGAGTTCTTACATTCTTTTTATACTTTGCAGGAATGAACGCATCGGCCATCCCACACTCTTCCATGATGGTTTGTTGGACGTTATGTGAGGGTTGTTCCAACAGTTGTTCAAGACAGAAATTAGCTGTAGAAATGTGTTTATTAGATTGATTTTTAGTTTGGCAATTATCTACTTTGTTTTAAGTTTTTGTCCTGTCTAAATTTTAAATGTGTATTTTAAATAAAATTTTAAATGTGTCACTCATCTGTTCTATCACTTTTTTTGTTGAAATTCTATGCAGGACAAATAGAAACAGTCTGTGTAACAGCTTTGACTGTCCATGCTTTGTGCTCCAAGAAAGAAAAGTAATCGGGTTTAAAATGCTAGGAAAAAGAAAACGCAAGTAAAACAAGAAATCGTAAGATGGTGGGGGAAGGGGATAACGGTAGTAATATTTACTCATTACAATTGACGACAACGTTGCCCAGCACAATTGCTCTAAAAGTTGCTCTGTGAATCATCAGCTTTAGTGTACTTTGAAAATATACAAGTCATTATTTTCAATTCAATTCAATTAAATTTTATTTAAGTATAGCACACTTAAAACAACCAAGGTTGACCAAGGTGCTTCACAAGACAGATACACCACAATGCAATACTCACACGATAAATAATAAAGCACTAAAATATTCTATAAATGAGTCATAATATTTGCATAAAAGATAAAAACAAAGATTATTATAAAATTGTCAAGAGGGATACCAAACCTAACTCGAATGAAACGCCAAGGAAAATAAATAAGTTTTTAGCGATAATTTAAAACATTCTATAGTTGGACAGGTTCTGATATGGAGAGGCAGTTTGTTCCACAGTGTAGGAGCAGCTACGCTGAAGGCGCGATCACCTCTAGTTTTAAGTCTGCTTCTAGGCACATCTAGGAGGAGGACATTGGCAGACCTAAGCACTCTAGCTGGAGTATGGACATGGAGAAGCTCTTTTAGGTACAATGGAGCCAAACCATTTAGGCATTTAAAAACTAGGAGTAAGATTTTAAAATTGATCCTGTAATCGACCGGGAGCCAATGAAGATGACGCAATACTGGTGTAATGTGATCCCTCTTTCTCTTTCCTGTCAGGATGCGGGCAGCGGCATTTTGAACTAGCTGTAGACGCTGGATTGATGACTTATCTAGGCCCACATATAAGGAGTTACAATAATCAAGGCGATAGAAGTTATAAGAGCATTTATCACCCTCTCCAAATCCTTAAGAGGGAGATAGGCCTTTACCTTGCCTATAGTTCTC